TGGTGAATAGGCTACCCTTTTTGACGGCTCAAAAACAATAAAAATGTTAGTAAAAATTGATTGCAATCTATTGACTAACCAGGTTTAGTCTGGGATAGGGTGTACAATTCTTAGTTTTAGTCTGGGGTAGGGTATGTAGAATCAATATTTTAGGTCTGGGATAGGGTCAGGGTTTTGAGGTCCTGGCGGCACACCTCAAAAATAAGGACCATAATGTTTCGACTGCAAGCTATCCGTCTGTGTCAGACGATAGTGTACTTAGACATAGTATGGTGTACATGGTGCATTAGTCTATAATATACTGTCGCCTGTTGAAGCCTAGCAGTCTGAGGTCAAAACATTGCAGCACTGTACTTCCTAAGAAAAGAGTATGATCTTTGGTATATCTTGGTGTAAGAACCTCACAACTGACATAACAATCTCTTTCCACACCACCCGTCACCTGTATCAATCACCTTGTTCTAAGTTTCACAATTTGTCCTGTCTGTCTAGTCAGGGGCAAATCCAGAAATTGAGAGAGTATGGCCGCAAAAATTTGGTGTTAGACAAATGTAGATGCTGACTTTGCAAAACAAAAGTAAAGAAGGTCTTGCGGCATGCTGGCAATGGCATTCTTAAAATTTATGGTTTGCAGAAATATTTTTGTATTGTATTCTGGGGATATTTGTTAAAGGAGAAAGTTGAAACAAAGCATCTAAATCTACAATTCACCCCACCCCCCCTCCCTAAACCCACCCTTGCTAGTAATCACTACATAAGTTTTAAAAAACATACACAGTTTTCTTTGCACTTTTTTTCATATCTTTGCAGCAATTCATCAGCTTCTTTTTCTTTGACATGTTGGTTATAGTTCCAGTCTTCAGCTACATCTTTTACAGCTACAAAATAATCAAATGAATAAGAAATTAATAAAATAAGCCATTTGAATTATAGGGTCATATACAACCACCAAAATTATTTGCCATATTTTAATTTACTTGCATAATAAATTGCAGGGAAAAATGGGGAAAAAATAGTTGTGACAGTAAAAAGTGGTTTGGTTAAAAACTGTATCAATAACTGGTGGCTAAAGTGACGCAAGAGGAAGCATACATTTTTATTACGTCCTATGGCTATAAAGTTTATTCCCATCTCACTAATATCCATTTATTTTACGAAAACAAATTTTAGGGAAGCACGAGTGGCGTAGCAGTGAGAGCACTTGCCTCTCATCAATGTGTTGTAGGTGATCATGAGTAGAGTTTCTAAGTTTACTCTCTTGTGCTTCGAGGGTTTTTCTCCAGGTTCTCCGGTTTTCCTCCCTCCATGTAAAATCAACTCCTAAATTCCAAATTCGATCCTGGAAGGAGGGCCACAGGTTTGTTATAGCCGCTGGCTATTAAGTGGTACCCTCCTAAAAAGGAAGTTTTTTTAAGAAAAGGATGTGGTTTTTTTTAAATCCTGGCTGATCTTTACTTACCTGGCCATGTTAAACTAGCATCATACATTTCTGGTAGAATGTAAACGTTAAGAAAAATAGCAGTATCTCCTTCATGATAAAGATGGGTGCAGTACCCTAGCAATGCAAAACAATTGCTTCATTTACTAAGGTTTTGATTGAGCTATGTGCTGACTGAGACAACAGTCATGGCAGGTAAAATTGGTAATTTGTGTTTATGATATTTGTAATTCCTCTTTTTTTGACGCTATATATACTTTACTAATCCACTATGGAGGGCAATTACAAGTAGAAAGCATAAGCTAATACTTTAATCGCCCTATACTTTTATTACCTAAAATAACATAATTTCCCTTATTTGTATTACAATATGTATTTGAATATTATATCCTGTAAATATATAACTGTATATAAAAAAGTCTAATAAACAAGTTGAAGTTGAAGTTGAAGTAATACACTGCCGTCAATCAAACAAATCATTCTTATGTACCATTTCACATTTCACAGTTCCCATATAGTCATGACTGTTTCTCAATCAGCTAATGGCAATGAAAATAGTGCTAATTTATAATAATCATTCAATAGCTAGTGTATTATATTACGAGATTTTAAGATAAGATCTTCTGGTACATGTGGTACAGTTCCTGTTTGTATGAGAATCTGCATTTATTTGGGTTGGGTAGGGGGCCATATATTTGGAGGGGGGAGTGATGTATGGTTCTTAGTAAAACGCTCGACTATGCCTCTGAGGTAGTAGCGACAGAAAAATTGGAAGACCAAAGGCTTCAGTTGTGACACATATAGCTCGTTGAATTCAATCAAACGTTGATGAAGTGACTTTATCAGACGTATGGTAAAAATGCCCCTGAGACATACATTTATCAACGTTCTGCTATTAAGAATCCTGCATTCTGAGGATAGTAAGGTTACTAAACGATAGAATATAGGGGATTTTAAACGTCTATATGTTTAACGGGGCTCCTTTTGATAGCAGAGGCATTTTGCCACTGACTGGATTACCTTGTTGTTATTTTTATTTAAGTTTAAATTTAGGTCAGATCATCAGCTCCGAGCTCCTCCTTCACCCCTCCCAACTTCATAATTTGTTATTCTAAACTCACACTTGCTTTGAAAATTAAAACAATTTAACAACGAGGCCCTTATTTTGGAATTACTTACATTCAAAAGCTTTTCTACTCTGATCAGAGCCGTCAACAGGAAGCAACACATTGCGTGATGCAGCCGCCATCTTGGTTACTGATGCACACCACAGGTAGCCCAAGCTCTCAATAATCAATGACTAAAAAAAGATATAACTAGCTAAAAACTAGTGTGAGCTGCGTCGGTGTTTCTAATGAAACAGTAATGATGAAAAGGTAAACTATACACCGTGAAAAGATGAAAAAACTTACTGACGTTTCGGACGCTAGTCCTTCGTCGGAGTTTTTACTCCGACGAAGGACTAGCGTCCGAAACGTCAGTAAGTTTTTTCATCTTTTCACGGTGTATAGTTTACCTTTTCATCATGACTAAAAAAAGAATGAAGTCAAGCCTGACACCGCTGCAAAACGCAATGCGCATGCGCTAAAATATTATTTGTTTTGTAAACGAACCTTGCTGCCATAGCGCGAAATTCAAAAAGCCGAAGCGAATAAAGCAAAGCCGATCGAGAAATTCTCAGAGTAGCTAGAGTGTCATATTTACAATAACATACTTTTTGCACCACATAGTTTTACGTTTGCACCAAAGGAGAAAATGAAGGGTAAAGTGGGTCGCGTGCCGTCGAGTACTGCTATCGCTACTATCGTGTTGTTGTTTTTACGAGTGGTAGTCTTAATGCATGGTTCAAACAAGACTGGTATATGCATGAGGGCTGAAAAAACAAGAACAGGAAGGGCTTGCCAAGGCAGACTGTACACGGTGAATTCGGAGATAAGTAGAGTAAAACTGTTGCCGATAAATTCCCGGCTTTGTCGGTACCATTGGGATGTCGCACGGAGGGAAAACCTACGATGTGCTTGTCCAAAACAAGACTATTTCAAGCACTCAAGACTAAATGCGAACAAAATACCACAAAGATTTTACGCTGTATTTGGTCGTTGGTGCAATTTATGCAAACAAACAGCAGACGAAGACTTTAARAACCACCAGCTATACGCATCGGCAGCGCGAGCAAAAGAAGTATAAAGTAAAACAAAACAACTCTACTCTTTCTCATTCTTTGAAGCTTYTGGAATTGAATTGCAGTCTCTCTCTTTAACATTTTTGTCAGTTTGTAGCAGCAGACACATGTGTAAAGTTTTTGTTTACCTTTTCCCTAAGGAAAACTGTAGCTTTGGTATTTTTGTTATCGTTTAAAATTCTAATTTCTCCTGAACGTTTCGGTTCTTTGTTTACAGTCAAAGGTCAAGGTGAAAGTTTTTCATAAAGTGCATGTTTCTGATTTGCTTAGCATTTTTCCACCTTCTAAAATAAGTACGAACGTCAAGCAGTAATTAATCCTAAATGGAAAATGTTTTATATTAATTTTTTGTTATAATAAGKGACATGAACGAAAATAAACGTCTTGTTTCTTAGTGTGACAAAGAAAACGAAGACCAAGCAGGGAAAACCTCCGAAGTATTATCAAGTCCACTTCAGGTGGTGACTCCTAAACATGTTTTGAAAGCGTTTCTCCTTTTTTTATTACTATTTTTTTCATAAAAGGGAAAACTCATTGCTGGGCTAACAATTTTCAAGTTTTTCATTTTCAGGAATTTATGATTGACCTATCTTTACAGATATGGCAGTTTACTGGATCGCCCATTTTACACCTCCATGAAAACTTGGTGKACTGCAGTTCATCTTCAGTTATTGACACTACCTCACCTAAAACAGAGAAGCTCAAAGAAACCAAAAACCAAYTTTCGAACCTTTTTACAAGACTCAATGTTCTATTAGAAATATGTGGAATTGAACTTCAGCACCAACAACTTGATAAAGTTAAAACTTCAAGAGGAAAAGTAGTGATTGACAGAGACACCTGGGAAAAAATGAATGATGCACTGGAAAAAGAAAACACTGTTGGTAATTTTTAATTTTTTGTTTTCATATATCTATTATAATAAACTTAACCACCTTGAATGGTTAATTTATTTTGAAAAACCACTCTTTTTGCACTATAATTTAAACAATGGGATCAGTAGATACAAAATGTATAAGCAATTTCATAAATATTCAAAGCTTAAAAACTTAAATGAATACTAAATTTGTTACCTACCATGTTACTATAACCTTGCTCTGATTTAATTCAATTTTATTTTTAAATACAGACAGCTCATTTGATGATCTAGTGCAACGCTTTCAACTTGCATTGTACCACCACTACACAGCCAACAATGATTCCCCGCTCTACAGTCCACAGTCGATGAGAGAATTTACAAAAAGTCATGTACCTGGGTTGTATGATCTGGTCTTAAAATCTATATCCAGGGAAGATGCCCGCCTCAGTGAGGAATATACTGCTGTCCAAGAACAAAGAACTGTTGTTTTGTTGCACACACTTGCCTATTTCAGGTAGAGGTTTCATAATATCATATGATAAGCTGTGTGACTGAGGAATGGTGCTTTAAGCTAGATATCTGTGATATGTATCTAAGGATAATAATACTTTCCCTTTCTTGGAATTTAATTTTAATTATTACTTCAGCAACACTGTTTCTTTTGTTTCTGAATCAATAGATCACAAAAAACTTGCTCACTCCAGAAAGATGAAGGCCTTTTTCTCCAAGAGCATGGAGCCTCACGTTCTGCCATAAATGCTGGAAGGGTCCTTGGCTTTAGCACCAGTCCAAGGAATGTTGATCAACAAAAGCAGCAGCTAATCCACACCTACCCAGGAGCAACAACATATAATGGCTGCTATCAAGGTACTTTTTTTCTGAAAAATAATTAAAAAAGGAAAAAAACAAAAACAAAATAAAACAACAACAAAAAAAAAACATATAGAAGTGTGCAGTGGAATCCCTAATATCTTGAACTGCTAAGGGAAAGGAAAAGGTGATGCTCATTTAATCAAGCATCAAGTGCAAGTCAGCTTTATTTGAATATTATATATTTTTTGTCTTGTCTAACAGGGACAATTTCTCATGGTGAATCTTCTAGATGATTTCCATAACATTTTAACCATCAGRCTTCCATCAGAGCTTAAGCTATCTGTTGCCACACATATGGCAAGCAGCCTATTGGACATCCATGAAAATATACCAGCTGTACACCTACCTTTAAAAAGAGGAAGCCAACACAGCAGTATCCAAGTAAAAGTGTCTGGAACAGAAAAAAAATTGCCGGSGAGGCATAATTGTAGTAAATATAAAGGAATTGCTCAATGCCTTTAATAAAGATAGACACCAAACATTTCTTGCAAGAATGCCATCAGGACTTTCAATCAGTCCTAAAAACATGCAGCCAGCAGCAAATAAGAGAATTAAGGTAAAATATATAGCATAAATTAGAATAATATAGACATTCGTCATCAGCCATTTTTAATTCACAGTAATATTTTCCATTTTACTAGGGTATATTCTGAGCTTTCAYATAGTGAACTGTCCACTCTGAGTACGACAATACTTATAGATGAGTTTGAACAATCTCTGAAAAGTATGGAGGACTATGAAGCAGCCATTCATCATTATATTTGGTCAATGCCCTCATCTTCATAACTACCTTCAGCAATATGTACTGCCRGCTCCTGGAGACTGGCCAACATGGTTCTATCAAAAGAAGCTGATAGCTCGATCGAATAATCCAAGTATTCTTTCAATAATCCCAGAGCAAGGCCCATTTCATGTCTTTCTTAATCTTCAAGAAGACATAATCAAGATGTATCACTTCATGTTGGGAAATGTATACMACAAGATATTTGGATCAGTTTTACCAAACAAGCCCAAACCTTTTCGCATCAATATTTTAATCAATGCTGTCTTTCTGGGATGGTTAAAAATTAGATCAAAACTACTTCAGAAATTCAAACTTTGCAAAGATATTGAATATTCTTGTCTACTTCATATACTTGAAGAAGTTATTCCACTTAGTGTATTCCATTATTCCTTAATTTTTAGGTCAGGAGATCTTGAAGAATACACTGAGACAATGATGCGGCTAATGGTTTTGTTCATAATCTGGAGAAGAAAACATTACAATCGATCAACAATATCAATGCTAAGTGATTTATGGTACCGTAAAAAATATTTTTCAACTTACTACAAGATGAAACAACTTTGGATGACTCTTATTACTGAAAAAAAGGTTGAGATATGGCACAGTATGCTGAGAGACCGAGTACAGGTATAC